GTGTGTGTGTGTGTGTGTGTGTGTGTGTGTGTGTGCACTCGCTGAAATAGATGACTTGGAAGAAGCCTACCAGACACTGCAGCAGATGGTGAAGGACTACCTGTCGCTTGCGGCGGAAGAAGAGAACAACAGAGAAACTTCCCCTGATTGCACCTTCACAGGTCTCTCAGGTAAAGMATTACCACTATGACGATAATTCTGGCAGCAAAGTGCCGTCATTGGGCTTTTTATGATCTCACCTTTTCAAATCAGAGGGACTCTTCACCTGTTTTACATGTCAATGTACGACAATCAGCAACATCAACACCAACCCCTTGCCAGGTATTTTGCAATTGCCACTGATGGTTGTTTTGACAATCAGCTATTTAAGTGGGTTGTATTTCTTAACATCAAAATAAATGCTGAATTTCCCAGATGAATATTGTAGTGTAATGAGAGGATCCCTGTCATTTGATCTAACATATTTTAGATTTTATTAGTCTYTATGCCCCTCAAAACAACTGTTTAATCCACTGATTTATTTTATCCATTCCTTTTCTTTTTTTTAATTCACGTAGTTATAAATTACCGTACATTTAGTGGTTTTTAATACCAAAAATAATTTCTTGTCTTTTTTGACTTSAGGTTACAACCCAGTAGAGAAGCCAACCTCACCACGGTCAGGAACAGTATCTGGGACACCTTCTTCACTTTCTGACCCGTCAGACTCCACATACAAACCCTATGCCATCCAGAAAGACCTGAGCTCTCAGATAAGCTCGACTGTGAGTTAAAAAAATCCTAATAAAAACATTAAACAGACATTAAAAATAATGAGGTTTTAATTAGTCATTTTAATCAGCTCCTCTCCCTTCTCTGTTTGTTGTTTCTGCAGGAGCTAGAGCTTCCATCAGGAAGCGAGAGCAGCTACTGAGGTAAGCTATTGTTGGGAAAAGACCGAGGGTCTTAAGCCAGCTCTTTAAAAGGTACAAATAAGTGGCAGGTCCTCCACAGGTCCTACACTCCAGTGTTTAATTTTAAGTAGGCACTCTTTGTTGGGGCTAAATTGGTGTAATTGCAACACTTGTCCTACAATAATTGCAATTTGATGGCATGGTGCAGTAGCAGGTGTTCAAATTATTTAATTCTAACTATTTGTTAACCAACACTGAAGTTGTTTTAGCTGTGCTTTCAATTGTTTTAAAATATATAGCTATTAGCTTTAACTACCATATACTAAAATCTGATAAAAAAAAACCCATCAAAGACATTGCTAACAGTAAAGCATGTTAAACATACTTAATAAATTTTTTTGTGTTTTTCCCAGTTTTTCTCCAGCTTCATCATCATCATCACTTCCCAGTACCCCGTTTCATGAGAGCAGCTAAGTACAGACAACAAACTGCTTCTCATGTTCAACCAATGCAGTCAATAACAAATTAGAAAAACAAACCCATGGAATTACTCTGACATGACTTTTCAATTCAGATAACCTTATTGACTTATAAAGAACTGAAAAKAGGTAGAGGGAGACTTGTTGCTTCATTAAGAGCAATCCCAAGCTGAAGGTTTCTGTGTTTTATTGGCATTCTTGACCCCAAAAGACCAGTTTTTCAAATACAGGCTCATTTTTATAGACCTGTTATAGGCCACGCGAGGACTAATCTCTGCACACTGACCACACATACACAGTCATACGCTGCATACACATCAATGCGCCCACTCATAAATTCAGGTTTTGTGGCTTTTTGTTGACTTGAATTCCCATCTGTGTATACTAGACTCAATAAACAGGCATACTGCTCAAGTCAAATCAAATTAATTAGATGTACAATAATTGCTGTCTTTTGTGCGATGATGTGTGTCAATGCAATCGCAGCTGTAAAATTGATGTAATTAAAATATCTATTGATTTTTTTATATGAAATCTGAGGTGTGTAAATACAGTGATCAGTACCAATTGACCTGTTTCATTTTTGGCTCGAGCCCAACACGTTCTGTCATCAGAGGGATTTCTGCCCTCGGTGCAGTTTGTATTACTCAGCCCTTCAGAATTTCTGTGGATTCCACACATTTCATCTACTTGTTGGAACTTCTCCTAACAGGGATGTGCCCTCACCTGTGGATTGATCCCACATATTGTAACTGACATGAACAGATTATCAAAGGGAGATTATCAAAGGGGCTCAGGCCTCACATTGATCTGAAACTAGGACTTTTCTTGATTTTGCGTCATTTTATAGACACTTTTATTTATTTGTGTCTAATTTTTACATCATATCATTTGGATTTCATAGTGTTTATTTATTTATTTTGTTTTTGTTTCATTTTGATCATTTCTTTATGACTTCTTTGTTTCATAATGTGGTCATTTTGTGTTGTTGATGTTTGTGCCTTAGGTTATTTTCATTTTATGGTTGCTTTTTGTTCAGTTTTGATCACTTATGTCTCGTTGTTTGGTATTTCCTGTTTTTTTAAAGTTTTCCTTGAAAAAAATGTTTGTTTGTTTCATGTTTTCCAACAATTTTGCTACTTTTCTCTTTTATCAGCAGTATACTTATGTATTTTGCAACCCACATTACACTTGTCTCTAGATAAAATCTTTGTATCTTTTATCTCAGTGTGTCTGTGGTTTTCTATTTCTCTTGATCTCCTCTTTTTTTGTTTATACAACTCACAGCTCAGATGAGTGTTGTGCCAGCTCATCCCTGTCTGTTCCCAGTTCAGCTGGCACCTTAAAGAAACCTCTAGATACCTCTGTCCTGGTTTACCACTTGGATGCACACAAAGGTYATTACTGCCTTTTTAAGATGTTGGCGTTTTGTTTTGCATAGAAAAACAATGTTTCTCTGTTCAAGTGTTGCAGATATCAAGTTAAATATGTTTTATTTCAAACCCCATGGCTTCTGACACAGTATCCAACACTTAACATTTAGGAACTGATGAACTTCCTGCAGTTGTCTCTCCCTCTGCTGACAGTTGGCCAGGATCCAAAGCTAAGATCATCCTTCCACGTCTCGCCACTGGGCGCAAATCCCCTTCAATCTACAGCCCAGCTCACTCTCCCAGACTCAGCCCAAACCTGGCAGATAAAGAGACAGGGAGTGAAACATGGAAGAATAGTTTTATAAGAAGGCGTAAAGAGGTAAACAGTTATATCTGTGAAATATCAACAAGTACATATAAGTAACAATAAAAGATATTACCTTAGCTTGACTTCTGTAAATGTTAAAGCCGGTGGTCAACCACAAAAGCAAATTTGTCACTATTTTACCACAACATACACAAGCTGTGGTTTAATGCATCCAAGTCAAACACTTGAGGTCACATTTCACAGTCAGAACTTGTTCTTTTTTTTCTCTGTTACTCGTGCTGTAACATGTCTAGATTTTTTGCAGGGATGCATGATGAATTATATTTATTACCATAATATAAAGTACCTACATCCTAATTACTGGCAAGGTTGTACGGTTCATTTTTGGATAATTACAGGAATAGTAGCCATAAGGTATAATTCAGGCACACAAAGTGTGATGATAAATAGGGTAGTGTTTAAAAAAAGCATCTCTTATTGCCTTTTTACATGATAACAAACGCATTTATGGCTGAATGTGCTGGAAAATAATAATATGCGGTCATGTCATGTTTCTTTAGTGAAGCTTTTTTTTTTCTGACAGTGAAGTGCTATTGTATTTTCTGCTGCTCAGTGATCTCATCAGCTCAGCCTTGCCTCTGCAACCCAGATACTGATCTTCTATGTGCAGCATGAAGCTCTTGTCATTGAATGATAAATACATCATTAATCTTTATCTCTTCCRCGGGGATTATTCATTCAGCTGGAAATGCGTTCATATGGAAGTGTTTGACAGGTATTAAACATCTCAGACAAGTTATTGTGTTTCTGACAGTTTAAATGCTCCACACAGCCGTGCCTATTTGTGCTCTGGCACATCTTTTGAATTTAGCATCCCGTTAATTAGTGATTCTCAGCAAACAGAAATTGTCATCTGCCACAGATGTATGCATTGCTTATTAAACCGGTCCCTCAGCCAGTCTGCTTGTAGGTGCGTGTGGGTTTACACACACACACTTTGTGTCCTTTGTTTCCTGGACTGTAAGTGTGTAAGAAGAAAYGTACACACACAGATAYACACACACAAAGCACACCTGGCCATTCATCACTGTCTGTCTTCCTCTGAGGCAGCAGATGTTGCAACCCCRTCATAATTCTTTGGAAGTTTGAAGCCAGGCTGTGTCTTAAGGGCTCCTGGGGTATAACCTACTTACACTGCAGTCTGCACCTCACTCCAGCTTATCATGGAGCAGCATGTTGTCTTCCTGTGCRTTACCAGTGTATTTTATAGGTTTGTATCCAAGCCTGTTTATGCTTGTATATTTTCACTGTATAAAATCTGAGAAAAAGGTCTCTAGAAATCATGCAGTATGTGTAATACTAACACTAATTAAATATCAGCTCATTCACTCAACCTCTACGCTGCTGGATAAAGATAAATAAATGTCACAAACTGTCAGCATAAACCCTCAAAACTCACACATTTCTCTCTCTAGAAAAAAATACCCCAATTTTAGCAAAAAACAGACTTTTCTTCTAAGTTTTATGCATGGAGGAGCAAGCTATTCTGACAGATATGCAGCAGCACGTTGTCAATTTCCACAAAGCTGAAGAACTCAAAATACATCTTTTATGATATGTGTAAGACTCGAGCAATGAAAGGAGTGAGAAATAATCTATATTTTCATTTCAGAAGGAAATGGTAAGAAGAAGCAGAATTGAATTGGAAGGAATAATTGGAAGCAGCAGTACATCAGTTTGACTAACACAGCGGATTTCAATTTTAGCTCTGGGGCTGCACTTAGGTCATGAAAAGTTATCTTCTGTGAGAATCAGCAGGATAGACATGTCTCTGCAAAAACTTGGAGCTTTTTTTTTTCCTAACTGTGTTGCACTACACCAAGTTTATTGTGTTGTACTATACTGTCCTCTTTAGGATCAAACTAATTATATCTAAAGTCCCAAAAACTGATTTAGTGTGTTTGCTTTTTTTTAGAAATAAACATCCTAATTATAAATGATAGCTCTAAACGGTAGTATTTTATGAAATTACAGAGCTGAAGTCAAACACAGACTTCCTCAGCACTTAACTTGTCTTTATCCCAGGTGATCATTTTGAGTCTTATGAGCTTCTGCAGCGTGTTTATAGTGGTGATTTGTTACTAAATGTAGGGTTGTACTACAGTTGGCAGTTTCCCTAATGGAAGGCTTTCCTTATGGAAAAACAAAAGGAAAAGGGGTGGGGGGGTATTGGGCTTAAAGAAGTTTTAAAAATAGTTTAAGGAAGTGAAATGTTAGGTCACAGGTGCAGCTGTTATGAYGACTACTTTCACTTTGTGCAGAAGAGAAAAACATTTCAACCTGAAATGTACAGCTTTTTTATAGAGAATAAATCAGTTCTCTTTAAATTTGAACTCAGTACTCCTAACATTGGTTCCCTTTATTTTGTTTTATCCGAATACCTTGTTTTTCTCATTCCACAACAGTAAAGTTCATCAAAGAAGATCTGTGTGCGAGATAATGCTAAAAAAAAACACCAAGGAGATCTTTGGGCCCTCAAACATCATTCCATTAAAAACGAAGCGATCCTTTTGTGAAAATCAGCACAGTGACTCAGGAATGAATATGAAAACTATTAAGGGGCACGGTTTCTGGCTGCATTTGCAAACGTCAGGTTATGCATGAAGAAAACAAACAAAATCTAGAGCTAACGGTCTGATCAGGAGAGGGAAACGTGATGCAACACGGCTGCTGCACTAACTTCAAAACAACTAATTAAAAAGTGAACAAATAAAAAGCCTTGGCATGTTGTCTTTGCACATGCTTCATTTATTTAAATGTATTCTGTTGTTAATTGTTTGATTTTTTGGCTTTTATTACATAGATTTTTGCTTTATGTGTCACTATTACCAAAATAAAACATTTAAACACTTCTTAAATCTTTGCTAGCTAACTGTACATTAACCCTAATAGATAGTTGTGTCAAAGTAACGTTACAWAATGTAAAACTATACAAAAATACAGTCTTCGGGAATTTCCTTCAGTACTTATGTTCTGTTCCTGTGTCACGTCTCCTCAGGAGCTGTTAGAAATGTTTATACAGGAACAGCATTCATCTGCGCGCGTTTTCTGTCTGAGTTTGCGTGGAGTTCTGCTGGAAGAGGTCAGCCTGGTGATATAATGAAAGCGTAAATGAAACACACACCTCTGCATTAACTCTGTCGCATGATGTGCCGCCATGCTCGGTAACCATGGCAACGGCCCTCTGCAGTGTGTGTGTGTGTGTGTGTGTGTGTGTGTG